GACTATGATGATACAAAATAAAGGGAATGTGTCGATCTGCATGAAGGGAGTAAACAGCACACAAAGCCAATACAAAAAGTGTATATTCAGTTATATAGTGATTAACTGAATCACTTTGCTGGACACCTGAAACTAACACTGTAAATCAATTACATTTCAAAAAAACATTTTTTAAAGTATATATTGTTCATTGAGGCGTCAGAGTGCAGATGTGTATTTCAGACATGATATAACATTGTTATTAAAGGTATGGATTTGGCTAATCTGCTTCCACATCTGCTGGAAAGGTACAGAGCATTCCTTCAGAAGCAATGAAATGTTCCAAGTGAAGGCAGTATTGGGGAGATAAGGTTGAAAGAAGTTCTACAAAAGGAAGCAAAACAAAATTAAGTCCGTGATGTGGGACAAACAGAATATGCAGATCTTGGGTTCAGTGAAGTATCAGACATCAATCCCCTCCAATGACAAAGGCTGGAAAAAAAATAACTCAGCAAATGCTACTGCAGGCATATACTAGTTGCTGCTATTAACCTCGATGCTTTTAAATATTTAAATTAAAATAAGATACAGTTTTAAGAAGATCACCACACACCCACACATTTCAAGCACACCCAGCAGTCCCCACCCAAAAAAGCAGGAGCGGAGAATGAACTCACTTCCCCTGGATTCAAAGATTCAACCCTGGGACAGAACAGAGAAAGCCAGTCCTTTATTTTTCAAGGGTTTTCTTATGACTGTCACCCCACCCACTGGTTCAAGGAACAATCGAGTTGTTCACTTGTGAAGTTCTGCTTTTTGAAGCTGTCTACAGGGATTTTCAGAGAAAAGGGGGAGCAATGGAAAAAAATAAAAAGAAGTTGGAGGAGATAAACACTGTTTACTATTTTTTAAGTTTTAATTTTTCCTCTAACCAAAGCCTCCCTGCCCTCCTTTACTTACTGTCTAGAAAATTCCAACAATGTCTTAGCTGTATAAAAACGCTGACGATTGGGCCAAGTGCCTCCAAGTGAAAACTGGATTTCCACACCCCCCACCCCGTA